TTACTTACTTGATAAAGCACGTATTCCAGAAGCATTTAAAACCTGATAATTACTTTCTCTATCACGTTCCAATGGAACTAAATCAGGGTTAATATCATTGATTTCTTTCACTCCGACACCAATTGTATTAATTATCTCTTGAAAATAGTGAACAATTTCATCACTGTTGTCAATTTTTACATTAAATACTCCTGAAAGAATATTGCCTATTTCCTGTGGAAATAAATTACTAGTCACCATACATAATCCAAATACTAAGGCTTTAATACTAATAATGATAATCTATTTATTAGTCAATTTAAAGAAATATGTTTTTTGTAATTTATACCAGTTAATTTTTTACCATAATTGTATCCAAGGTCCATATTTTTTAATGAATTCAGGAACTTTTGTGATTACATAGCCCTCTTGCTCTGGTACATGCCAATGATTATTGTGTTCACATACAAAATACATTTTGAATGGATTTGTGTACCAGGTCCTGCAAAAAATAATTAAATAATTATTTGAAAGATGTTTTTTATAAAATGATAAATCTGGTAAATTTTGCCTACATTGGATTTTTAAACTCACGACGTTGAGGTACCATTATAAAAACTCTAGGTGTTTTCTCATTCTGTATTTTTATTAACTATGTAAACCAAAAATTCTTGTGTTAATCACATGATTGACAATAAACAAACCAGTAAAAAAATTTGCAAATAATGAATACCATTCGTGGAATTGTTTCAGTAAGATTTAACACAGAAGTCTTAACCTCATCTAATTTCTCATTCATTTCATTCAAACTTATTTTCATTTCTTGATGATACCTTTCCAAGAATGATAAAAATCGTTCCTACATACATGCAAGCAATAATAATTATTCATATGCAATTTTATATTTATATTAATTATAATTTGAAATTTTACCTGTCGTAAATCAAGATTCATTTTTTTTAATTCATCATCTTTTATATCTGGATTAAGTTCTTTGGCCTCTTTTTCAATTTGCACTTTAGATTTTTCATGATAAGTCCATTCTAAAGAATAGAAAAATATTATTATTATTTATCAATGTTCATTAATCACACCAAGAAAGAATACTTGCTTTCTACAATGGTTTTATTTTGGGCATGGTTAAAATCACCTTGAATGTTGCCTTTTGATAATTTCTCATAATATGTTGTTTCCTTTTATAAAAGTTATAACATTAATAAACTAAAAATGCAATTGGTTCTTTATAAGATTTCATTCCTACCTTAAATTGAGCCAATGTCATTCTAAAGTGATTTTGTAGAAAAAGAAAAAGATTAGCTAACTGTGTGTAAATAAAAAATAAAAATCATAAAAACTATAAAATATCAAAATAGATTTATACCTGTTATTAACATTTTTTTCCAACAATTTCTCAATAACATTAATAGTATAGGAATCCCCAGTAGTAGTTATTGGTAATTTTTTATCAGGACTTTTTTGATCAGCAATATTCCAATAACCATTTTCAATGTAATATAAAATTAATCCAAATGAGAACATATCCATGGAAAATTGTGCTTTTATCTCTCTTCCATCCCCTTCAGCTTGTATTAATTCAGGGCTGCAATACTTTATTGTTGTGGTTTTTGACACATAGGTTTTATCTGCTATACATGCAGAATCAAAATCTATTAATTTCCAATTTTCATCACAAAAATACATTATATTTTTTGGTGATAAATCCAAATGAACTATTTTATTTACGAGAAATGAGAATTAGCTTCATTGTATAAATAAATGAATAATTAAATATGCATGTTAATATGTGAATAATTACCTATATTTTTATGTTGACATTCAGATAATGCATTTACAATGTCCTATAAAATGTTTTAAAGATGTATGATTTGTCAGACATAACATATAATATAAATTTTAAATTTTAGATTTTTATGAACGACTTACTTTTATTATTGGTATCTTTTCTGCTTGTCTTTGGGTCCATGCCTGGTGTTCAAAAAAAGTTTCTAAATCATATAATGCACATTCACTAACAATCACCATCTTATATAAATCATAATCTATAATCTGCATAATATTCTATAATAAAAAAAGAAAATTTAAATACATATTTTGTCTGATTCATAGCAACACATTAAAAAATTACCTTTGCCTTTTTTAATGGAATCAATGCATCTATTTCTCTTTTATATGAAACAATATCATCATATTTTTTTATAATATAGAATTCTGATTCAATAGGTTTTTTATATGCTTTGAACACATTAAGCTTTCTTCCGTAATTAAATTTTCTACATTTTATGTATATGTGCGCATATATATATTATATTTATTTGATTTGTTTAATTAGAAACAAATAAAAGTAAAATTCTTGAACAATAATAAATAGTAATAATAATAATCAACAACCAACCTGATCATTTGATATTCATCATTGTTAATAGTAATATTATTATCATCATTGTTATTGTCATAATTAACTGGTTCACTTTGGATGAAATTATCATAATTTCCTGGTTGTAAAACGGAATATTGTGCGTAATTCATATTCTAATTAATAAAAATTTTATTTTTATTTTTTCAGTTCGTTTTGTTCTAAATTAAATGAAATCATAAACTTTTTTTTAGACAAAGTAATGAACGACAGATAACAGAATTCCCATTATTATTACAAACTACTGTATCTCGTCGTCATATCTTGAGAAATTTAAATGTCGATCTTACTTTTTTCCTCCACGAAAATAGTGTATCATAAAAAGCCCCTTTCATGTATGTTTCTTAAAAAGGTATTCTCTTTTTATTAACGTGTCTTAAAAGAAATATTTTGTGAACCGTAAAGTGATTACACAATTACATAACTTAGCATTTTTTCATTGTTTCATTGTTCATTGTTTATCTGACAAGATTTGACGCGATAGGAATAGTTTCCTTCTTGTAATAAGCAGATTTTTTTCACGCACACAAAACCCTGATTTTGTGTAATAAATAATGATGTTGATGTTCGGGGGAAACCACTGGTTAAACGATTCGTTTTGTTGTTGATAATAATATTGATGTAAATTAATAATGGAAGAAGTTGAACATAAAGATTTTGTTGTTTTTGTTCGTAATTATTAGTAGAAACTATAAAAGGATTTACTCGGTAAAAACTATTTCCTGCTCCTACATTTCCTTGTGTCCCAAAGGTGATCAACAATATCATATCCTTTTACAGGAAGGACTTATTCGCTTATGCCATTATTATTTTTACTTGCTCCAATAAAGGTTATTTTTTATTTTTCTGATTCCTTCTGAACGATCAATAAAAATCTGTTTTGGCCGTGTAACAAGGAACAGAAAACATGCTCTTTGTATGTAGTAATATAAATAATCATTTGATTATTAAACAAACCAATGTTGTGTATCAATAAAAAAACATTACTGAAACTACTTGTATTGGACTGATAATTTTATGATTTTTAACAAATTAAAATTTCCAAAATTTTTAGAAAAAATTGCACTTGGAGATATTTTAAGGTGCCATGTTTTATTTAACAGATCTTGGAAACTTGGAAAATGTTGTTCCATTTGTTCTCAAATGTATACTAATATACTTAAATTTTTTATAATTATTGGCCAAATATTCATGGAGAATTAATACAAAGTGTAAAATAACAAAAAAATCATAATGCAAGATGATTGTTATGCATGTACAAACTTTAAATGGCAATTGCGGCTGAAATATCTAACCAAACTTTTTTTTATTGAACTTTCAACTTGTTATTTTAATTAGAACATCATGTCACAATTAACAGATTTTGAACAAGGAAGAATAATTGGACGTTGTGAAGAGGTGAAAGCACTCATGATGTTGCTGGTGCACTCAATCATTCTCAGTCACAAGTAACTCATACAATAAAAGCATTCAAGATCGAACTACTATTGCTCTCCAAAAAATACAAATGAATGAGTTTCTTATTTAATGGATCAGTGAGCTAATCTTGATCCTGATTATTTGCAAAAATTAGTAGACAGCATGTCTCAAAGGGTTCAAGCTGCAATTGATTCAAAAGGAAACTGACAAAATATTGAATAAATGAATTCTTTTGATGTAAATTTAATAAAGATTTGTTATGTAAAATATTTGCAAATTGTGGGTGAAATTTTTTTTTTAATTCCCCATGAATATTTGGCCAATAATTATAAAAAATTTAAGTATATTAGAACAAATGTAACAACATCTTCCAAGTTTCCAAGATCTGTTAAATAAAACATGGCATCTTAAAATATCTCCAAGTGCAACTTTTTCTAAAAATTTTCAATTCGTCTTTTAAACATCATAAATTACCAGTCCAATATGATATGGGGTGTGGACAATAGAAACGGACCATGTTGTGAAAAAAGCAATTTTGAGTTAGTATCACTATTATATGTAATTCCTCATGTAGAACATTTTTGGCTTAGAAACCATACCCACTTTTGCTTAATAAAACCTTGAGATACCCTCCATTAAAGTTTTAAAAACAATAGTAAATTATTTGAAATGCAGATCTTTTTTTAAATTTTCTCAAAACATCATTTTCACAACATGGTCCATTTCTATTGTCCAGACACCATTTTTAGAATGTTATACAGTTTCTAGGGATGGGAAATTGCATGAAATTTCAAAATTTCATGCACATGATGCAGTGCATTTTTTTTTTTTTAAAAAAATCACTCAACATTATATCTGACATTACTGCTTTTAACGTTTTTAATGCATTATTTATTCATTATTAAAAATATATTATGAAAATTAAATGTTTACAGATAATCCATTTTCATCATCATTGTCAATATCACTATTATCAACATTGTCATCACTATCATCAACAGTATCATCACTATCATCATTATCGTCATCATCACTATCATCAATATCTTCACCTATATTTGTAATTTTACTTATCTTTGGGGTTTCAATTTATTATTAAAATATATATAAACTAATTTAAAAACACGATCATTTGTCAATTTATCTCGTTTTTTATCATATATATGAGAAAATGTAGATCAATTCCTTTCTGCTGCAGCTGATGAGGTAGGAATAGAAAGAACTCTTACCGCAACTTTTGTCAATTCAGATGCCACAGCTCCAAAATCATCTTTCCACCAGGTTAATAAATTCACATTATTGGTAGATATTCCCATGAGGATCTTAAATTATAAAATTGCATCGCGATGTAAATGGGTACCATTGCACAACCTTATTTCAAGATGCGCAGCCTACTCAACAATGCACAACACATTGTTACACTGCAATGTAAATCTTGATTTTTTATTGTATAAAAATAATATATACTGTATATATAAATTCAATTTGAAAAAATTACATTTTTATTAATTATAATATAATCATAAGCAAACAGTTAGGGATGGGAACGGTTTAACCCAAACCGGTTCAACCGGCGGTTTGGTTTACACATTTCAAACTGCGGTTTATTGAACCGGTTAAACCCAGTTCAAACTCCGATTTTTGAAACTGAGCTGGTTACACGTTACATTTCAAAAATTGGTCACACTTGTTCGTTTTATATCGGTTTATTCATTTTATAAAATATAAAATGTAAAATTATAAATAGGGTCTTATTTCTTTTAACAAGATAATTAATTACATTTATAATCTACTATGGTTACTAGTACTATGACTTAAGAAAATAAAAGAAAGATGTCAGCTACTACTATTTACTATTATTACGGTGCAGATCATCTATAATCATTAATTGCTTATAGTAACAATTGGTCAACTTCAAAATACTAAAAAAAATTATATCATTTTAAAAAATTTAACCAATAAGTTTTATTGTTCATGACTCAAGCTTCAAAACTTATCGGCTGGTTTTTTCTTAAACTGAAAATTGGCAGAGCCTTAGCATTTTGAAAATTCCGAATTTTGTTATACATTTAAGAAATTGAGACTAAGTTGATGCCCCTTCCAAAACCCAGATAAGCGGAAGTATAAATACCATACTTTTAAAACATCATTATTTTCATTGGGAATATCATTAATTGACATATTTTTGTTTGTCACATATTTATGAATAGATATTCCAACAGCAGCCCAAATGAGATCTAAAAAGGAAGTTGTAGCCCTGTAATCAACATTCTTTTCTAATTGGTCTAAAAAACGAACTCCAAGTGCAGTAGCAATATTGTAAATGCCATATCCACTGAAAGCAGTTATTAAGGCATTAGCCATAGATTTTGAAGTATGCCACTGGCCTAAGATGAATCTTCCAGTCAAATTTTCATTATGGTAGGTTTTAGTTCTCCTGAAGATAGCTTCATCACACACTAGATCAATAACATTTTGTTTAAGCTCTTTAATATACATATTTATTGATTCAAAAACTGCTTCATCACTTTTAGCTTCTGGACCTGGTTTGAGTAATACAACATTTGGTGGTGGAATTCTGCAACCCAATTCAACTTTTGAAGCAATCTCTTTATGAACATCCTGAAAATCAAAATCATTTCCACAAATTCATAAAGGATTTTGAAATACTGCATCTATTGTATTTTTCCACTGGATTTTCCAAATAATTTTAATTCAGAAGTCACTTGCTGATAATTTTGCAAATATGTCTCTACAGGAAATGGGAGATGGAACTGGTAAATTCCTCAAATAACAGCATGTGATGAGCCTTGATTTGCATTGCGAGCATGCAATCCGAGTTTCCTAATTAATAGGTTATTTATAGCTCAACACTAAGGTTGCGGGAGAAACTCCTCCAGAAATCAATCGACAGGTTACACATTAATTGTTTATTAGAGTTTCGGCAGAGTTTCACATTTGGGGTTTTCACCAATCATCAGAGTTTCGACAGGTTACACATTAATTGTTCATTAGAGTTTCGACAGTCATTA